TGATAGTACAATGAAAAACGGGGCTCAGCACGACGCGAGTACCGAGGTCTAACGACAGTCAACAATAACGATCTTAAGTTCGCACGCCGGACGCGCCAACGGAGGCGAAAAACAAATATAAGATTACTTAAGCCAAACGCGACGGACATTCATACGGAGACGAAACAGATAGAAGATCGCTTACGCCGATACGCAATAAATCGTACACAATATCACAAGACAACGCGACGAAAGACACTCGCGATTCCGAGTACTTGCACACTTACACGGACGCTCGCGCACTCGTGCGCGAGGGCTTTGCGGCGAACTCGCGACGACGATCTCCGGGTGGCTCGATACGCGACTCCCGACACTCCCGATCGCTCACGGCAGATTCCTGTGGGAACCCTCCCACTTAGGGACGCGCGAAATGTCCGACCTCGTCACAATTCCAACATTTTCCGGGATTCGTACGCGCCCGGGGGACGGCTGACGTCGACGATTCCCCCGTGTTCGCGGTCATGGAGGTCGCGCCTGGCCCGAAACCAATGCAACGCAATGCCTGTTAAGAAAAGGGGGATGCACTGTAGCACGTCCGCGTCCGCGGCCGGCACGGTCCGGCGCCCCTCTTCGATCTGCAGGAGAAACGTTTCGGCCTCCTCTCCGCGAGTACCCGAAAACTTCAGATTCCACCCTCTCATCAATTTATAAACCGCGGCTGCCGAGTTTTTCCCGGTCCTGGTCGGTGGCGGTGGCTCCCCGCTCCGCGGCGGATCCGCCGGGCCCGCGCGCGGGAACTGCGGCCTGAGCCTCATTTCCTCGAACGGGCTGTCCGGACGAGCCGGGCCACCCTTGGGCAGCTCCAAGTGCTCCTCCGCAAGGCGACGGGTAAGAATATTCGCGAGGCTGTCGAGGACCTAGTGGTGTTTCGCTGGGGCGCTCCGTGGGTGCTGTTGACCGACAACGGGACGGAGTTCGTAAACCGCGAGATGCAGGCGTTAGCCGAACAGTATGAGATAAAACACGCTACGGTACCGCCCTATCACCCCCAGGCGAACTCCGTCGAAAGAGTAAATCGCGTACTTAAAATCATGATTACGGCCTTTATCGAACGCGATCACCGCGAGTGGGATCGGTATATCAGGGACTTTCGCTTCGCGTAAAATTCCGCCTACCATACGTCACTACAGACTACTCCGGCATTCTTGAACTTTGGTAGAGAACCTTCGGCTATCCATGTGCGTCACGAACAGGAGGGGGCGGTCGGGCTGGACGATCCCGACCCGGGAGAGTGGAAGGAACGCATGGAACAATTGCAAACGCTACAGGAGTGGGTCGCGGAGAATCTGGAGACCGCTCATCAAAAACAAGCCGAATATTATAATCGACGTCACAAAGAACGACGCTTTGCGATCGGGGATCAAGTTTTGAAGCGACAACACGTGTTGTCGTCCGCCGCTCAAAATTTCGCGGCCAAGTTGGCGATCAAGTACCATGGTCCGTTCGCTGTCGCGAGAGTTTTATCGCCCTTAGTCTACGAACTAGCGGACGCCGCCGGTAGGTCTCTGGGCAAAGTACACGTGAAGGATCTAAAACCTTACCTAGAACCTGTGGATTAGTGGCTGTCAGAGTATGTATGTCTGTGTGCTCGTGTGTAGCAGGGATGTCGGGACCCGGTAAACGGTATGAGCGGTTGCTCAAGCTCATCCGCGAGAGCCAGGCAAAGCTCGAGCGGGAAGCCAATCGAGAGGAGGAGCGGAGGCAACCGGACGAAGGAGCCGCGGTACGGATGGAGGCCGCGGACCTCACCGTACAAGTGACGGCGCGGAACGGCGGGACGGCCGAGGACCCCGCGGAAGCCCGCTGCGATCTGGTGGCCAGGGCGCCCACCCCGAAGCGTACCTCACTGTCACCCTGGGGACCCGCCGCCGTGACTGATAACGGTAGAGGCGTGTTGGGCGTGCGGATCCGACAAGCACTTTCAGGACCGATGCCCGAAGCGGCATGTCCGCCGCACCCTGCCATATTGTTTCCGGTGCGGGCGGGCCTGGTATACGGTCAGAACATGCCCTGACTGCGGGGATGCCTGGGCCGCGCAGGGACCCTGGACCCCAGGGCGGGGGCACCCAGGGCCCGAGCCACCCAAGAGACCGAGCAAGAAGCCAGGCAGTCGTTTGGTCTTGGAGCCCCCGGGCGGCTAGTAGAAATGGACTCACTCCCCGAGAGACCAACCCACGAAGAGCGGAGACAGCAGCCCTTAGCGACGACCGCCCGACCCCCGAACCTTTGGTTCCTCTTTGGAACCTTTGGAGTCCTCTCCGCTGACGCTCCGTTGGTCCGGTGAGGTGCCGCGGTACATATAAAGAGGTTCAACGAAAATTAATAAAAAGCACGCGTTTAAATTCGGGCCTCCCGGAGATCTCGGTTTCGCTTCGACAACGCAGCTGCCGGCCCGGCAAAAGGGCGCGAACCCGCGCCTTGTGACGGCGGCGGGACGCTGCTCCGCTGCAGCGGGCTGCAACGTCACGTATATCCACTATGACGCTTACCTGCGGCCTTTGTAGAAAATATATTTCCGCCGCGTTTCGCTGTGATTGCACCGAGAATCACGTTTTGCATGAAGATTATGTGCTCTCTGTCGATGGCCCCGAATTCGTCGCGGTCTACAGCCAGGGTAACGGTCCCTGTTCCATATGCCGGCGCCCTTCTGATCGCCCCGTCGGGGTCTCCGCGGGCGCTTCTGTAGCTTTCCCCGACAGTATTTTCGCCATCGAATCCGCGTCGCTTAAGGGCTTTTTTTCGAATCTCACTCTAAACGTTGCAAACATCAATACAAAACTGCAGGATCTTAATGCCATTAAGCTACAGCTAAATAATTTGGGCGTGATCAAGGCGCAGCTAATTACCCTTGAGACTAGCGTAAATCAGTGGATTTCCTCTTTCAACGATCTCTCTGCCAAGACTGATGCCCTGTCTGCGGTCTCTCAGCAGTTGACCATTAGGACGGACGCTCTTTCTATCGTTACCCAGGAACTCAGGGACGAGCACTCAAGCCTTGACAAGCGAATCAGCGCTCTCGAAGTCTCCACCTCCTTCAGAGCAACACAATCCTGCCGGACAACGCAATCTAGAGTCTCGAATTGATGCTCGGCTTGAAACTCTTGAGCGTGACAGGCTTTGTTCCGAGCTCATTCTTTTCGGCGTGAAGGAAAATCTGAGGGAAAACCTGCATGCCATCACTACCGGCATTGCGATTGCTCTCAAGGTTAAGGTCTCCCCGGGTGACATTGCGGTATGCTTCCGAATCTCCGCCAAGGGCGATTGCCCACACCCTGTGATCGTCAGACTGTCCTCCTGTGATAACCGCTGGATCGACAGTAAGCGGACCAAGGGCGCCCTAGACGGATCTGAGATCTTTCGATTTCCTTGCCGGATCCCGCATCGATGTCAACAAGAGATTGTCTGTCTCGACAAGGCTAACACTTGGCGAAGCTAGACAAGCAATCAAAGATGGTCTGCTTTATCACGCGTGGGTTCGCAATGGATATATTTATGGTAAGCGTCACTCTTTTACTCCACCCATTCGCGTGCGAAATCGCAATCATCTTGCGTCGGTTATCGCTGGTGCGCCTCAGCCATCTTCTGCTCGTTCTCCGCCCCATTCGTCCGATGCACCAAATGTTGCCTCTAATTTTGTCCCATGCGCCTCACCTCCTCGTACCGCTGGAACGTCCGGGGATGCGCGCTGCATCCCGTGCCCGCCGCGCGGCTATTACTTCCGCGCCCACAATTGTTTCCGGCGACTCTAGTCGCGGTGCTTTTCCGAAACGGCCTTCTCCACGCAATTGACCCTTGACTGCTGCGCCTCCCTCGCCGCGCGCTCATCTGCAACTGTGCCACATTAATTATCAATCCTTCTTCTCCTCCCACTTTGCGGAGTTCTCGAGCTCTTTCCCGTACAATCAATACGATCTAATCGCCATGTCCGAGACCTGGCTCAAAACTCATATCCCTGACGATCTGATTTGCCTGTCGAGATATTACCTTATCAGAAGAGACAGAATGAGAAAGGGGGGAGGGTGGCATTGGCTTATATGTGCGTAACGGTATCTCTGCGAAAATTCTCGCGTCCTTGCCCGAGTTTTATTGCGCTCAACATGAATATTTACTTCTCAGTATCTCTTGTGTTAAATCTCGACCTCTCTTACTCTCAATCCTTACTGTCCGCCCAAGCTTGGACAGCTTTCAATTTTTCAAGCCGACTTTGAGAGACTCCTTCCATCCTTCTGAGTCGCCGTCGTCATTGGCGACTTCAACATCGATCTCAATCGTCTTTCTTTCGTACTGACTTCCTTCTTAACTTCTCTTCTTGCAATCATCTCTATCTTGTTCCGTACAGCCACTACACCTCCTTCTCTCGCACTAGGATTGATCACTGCCTGTTAAGCGATCAGTCTCTACTCGTCTCATTTGACCAACGGCCTCTTTTATTTCTCTCGAGGCACAACCTTATCGAAGTCACTCTAGATCTCTTTATTCATTGTTTACCGCCTCGAACCGCCTCTCTCTCTCTCTCTCTCTCTCTCTCCTGAGACGGACGTGTGTCACATCGCTCCGTAAAAATCATAATTTTTACGGTGGTTAGAGAGAGCGGAGGGGAGTAAAAGTTTTC